GCTGCCGACCGCACGTGGCCGGCCGGGCGGAGCACGCCACCGCCCCGCCGCACCCCGCCGCGCCGGAGAGTTCGGACGGCCAGCGCTCTGCCGCTGCCGTCAGGTGTCTTCATTTTCCCGCAGGTCTATATATTATAGGTCTACAGATTGGTGCTTATAAGGCTGAGCGGCCAAAGTGATGATGCTGAAACTCATGAAAGGCTGAGCGGCCAAAGTTATGGTGCTGAAACTCATGAAAGAATCTCGGAATGGTAGATGAACGAGTCCTTGCCCTTGGTGTGTGTGATGGGGACGGGAAGGGCGATGGGTAATGGACTCTGGCAGCAATGGGTGGTGGCTGTCACACGCCAACTGTGACGTCACCATGACAGTACGATAGAGGGGGAGGATGAGTCAGGGGCCGCTAGAATGTCGAGTGCTGGCGCCGTGGGAGAAAGCGCGAATGAACTCAGTGGGTGGTAGGCAGATGATGGTCCCCTTCGGTCATTATTTTGAATTTACCTTTTCAAGTTACATAATACGGCTGGCCTTCAGCCACGCCCTTATGGACCAATGCGAACACGTGCGGGCTCTATAGCTCCAATGTCTTCCTGGGAGGTATCGACCGGCGATTTCGTGTTATCGCTGCTGTTCGGGCGGCGATATCGTCCTCGGACCGTACCCGGTGCCACGGCGCGGCCCGGCCGGGTCGATCGTCGCACCTCTGTGGCGTCTGTAACGGCAGTTAGGACTGATGCTCCACAGCTGTGGTGGCCTGACCAAACCTGGCGCAGAGGGGCGCTGCGCCGACCCTGAGCCTTTCGTTTGGTCGGCGGGAGATGTGTTAAGCAGCTGCATAGAGCTGTGGTGAGACCCCATCTCACCCCTCCCTGTCCATTCCCGCTGCACCCTCCCCGTTCGTCGCCTTGCCCCTCTGACTCCCTCTAACACCCCCGCCCTGTTGGGGCCGTCCATGTGGCTTCAGCGCGGCCTTGTGCGACCGCTTGGTCATCACAGTCCATTAGAGAAGGAGGGGTGAATGAATGATGCCGTGAACAGCTGGGTAAAGTTGAAAAAGGGAGAGCGTTTTTGCGTCGTCTGCTTTCCTGACGCTGGGTGGGTTCGTTGCGTATGAGCGAAGCGGTTCTGTCTATGTTTTCTGATGGAGATGATGTCATTTACTTTCAAAATATCACGACAACCTTCTTTGCTGCCTGTGTGATGTGGACTTTCCAGTTATTTTAAGCTCTCCAGGGCGGGGAGCTTTACATCTACTGCTCAAAGAATGCCTGCTTCGTGTGATGTGATGATGTATGATGATGTGACCTACTCGTGAGACCGAACCGGGCCCTGAAACCTCGCGCCGCCTTGTCACCTGACCTCTGATTGTTCAGCCCGCATGCTGAACAGCTGAGAGCCACCGCTGTGTAATGGTCGATATCAGTACTCCACCGATCCGTTGTCGTGCTGTCGCCATCCTCCTCCGTTGTCGATTCTGACCCTGTTCTCTGCTTGTTTCAGGTGCTGCTGCCGCTCGCGGTCCATCGTTCCGCGGTCCGGTCCGGCCCGGTCCGGTTGTCTCGTGACCGGGCCAGGACCGTCCGCGCGGTCCGCCGGCCGGCTGCTACTGAGGCAGACTCCCTGACGCCAGCTACTTCAGAGGGACCACGACCACCGCAGTCCTACGAGGGACAGCGGACGCCTCAGTGGTACTCGGGAGACGGCAGAGCCTCCAGTGGTCCCTGGGAGACGGCAAGCCTCCGGTGAGCCCTGGAAGACCACGGGCCGCTCCATACGTCTTCAGGAGGCTGCAGGATACTCCTGTCGATAGTCAGACAGCGGGTGATCCTGGTGCCTGGAGTCACCGTCCTGATCCTGGTGCTGCCTCGAGTGATTGTACCGGAGTGGTGCTCCTGCCTGGTGTTATGGTACGGGTGATCGTAGCTGAGTGATACTCCCGAGGTAGAACTCTGGATGCGTTCCCGGAGCGCCGCTCCTGCCATCTGTTCTGGGACAGTGCTAGTAGGAGACTCGGAGGCCTCCTGCCTGGAGCGGACGATAGGGTGCTGCCTGAATTGACGGGTCAGAGTGGTGCTTCTGCAGTGGACTGGTGTTCCTGGTCAGGTCTGGTCGGCCGTGAAAAGACCACCGGGAGTCTGTCTGACCTGCCTGACGGCCCGGCCCGACCGTCGGTGAACTATCAAAGTTTCATATCGTGACACGCCAAGCCTTGTTGACGACATCGCGTTTTGTACGCCGCCGGGGACAGTGAGTCGCCGGCCGTGCGGTCGTGCTCGACAGAGTGTAAGAAATGAGAGATTTATCGGACCCGCTCGCCGCCCGCCGCCCGGGGTCCGGTGAGCGCGCCGCGGTCAGCACCAGCTGCCATAGGTGCTGTGGCGGCGGCGGCGGCGGCGGCGGCGGCGAGGTGGCCTTGCTCGTGCTGTGATCGGCCCGAGTGGTGTGTGAGTGTGCTCAATGGTGTACCGTCGCGGCCGACGGCCGTGCCCGCTCCCACCGTCAGTTAGAGAGATGGGTACGGCCGGCCGCCGACGCGACGACGAATCATGCTTGTTAACACGTCCGCTCGTTAACCCTGAAGCGTGCGGCATTTGTAGATTGCTATATTATTTTTGTATACAGCGAATCGATGAGGCTGTATTGGAATCATTTTATAAGGATCATGTTTGTCCTCGAGCCGGGACCCTGTAATACACGTCACATCTCAGTAGCGGGTATGTGTTAGCGGGCAGCGGGGTTCCCCAGTGGGGCTGTGAGGTAAAATGTTCAGCTGGTTCCACTGATAGCGGCAGGACAGGCACGCTGAACACCGGAGCTGGAATTTACCTGACCATTTAGCTTATCGTGCTCGCATATAACTAACGCTGAACCACGCAAACACTAATCGACCCACGTCTGCGATTAGAATGCTCTGAGTTAGCATCTCTGGCTGCTGTTGATACAACACCAACGGACCAACGTGAAATCGCCGAGACTGTTCGGGCCATAGGTCTCTGGCAGGACCTCATACTATCGCATGGTGCCTAGATCGAGTCTGACGGCACCCTATGGCTGGTGAGTGAGGCAGCCTGCTGATTCCACAGCTGTGGCAGCAGTAGGCAGCCTATGTGTGACTCAGAGCTCAGCCGGGGTGAGCGGGAGAGGTGGCGTATCACCTGTGCAGCGGACACCGTATGATGTATTCCCCGTGTGCCGGAATTCCGACCCGGTCAACACCTGACTCACTGGGCGGTGCAGTGCGACCGCCACGCGCGGCGCCGGCCACTGAATCAGGCCACAGCTGGGCAGGGCGGTGTCAGTCCGTCTGTGTGATCGCCGCCACCGGGCAGCTGAAACAACAGCCGATCATCACCGGCTTCTGATGCTTAGATCACCCCGGTCAGTTGTGAGATCGCCTATGTCACCGTCAGGGGTATTCGGTTGCAGAATTGTCGGCCGATGCGGAGTAAGAGACGGCCGTGCGCCTTAGCGACTCAGGTGTGATTGCCGGGCCGTTAGCTATGCAGACTAACAGGAAAGTGGGACCATGCAATTGGAATGGAACATGAGCCGGCGGTTCGGTTCTCTTGTGGGCTGTGAACGACCGCCATTAGAGGTCATGAGGTGCACGGGAGGTGATAAAATGTCAAACGGACGGGAACAAAGGACAGGGCAGCTCCAAACCAGCGGTGAAATAGTCGCCGTTACTAAGCTGAGAAAAAGAGCAGATGACAAACTCGACGACATTTGCAAATGTTTCTATGAATTCAGTGTTTTTGTAGTCATCTCATTCTCTGATTCGGTAAGGCACCTGTCAAAACTTCTCCCGTACTTCGTTCACAAGACCCGACCGTATATGGGTGCTCGACATCGTTCATAAACTAATGGAACAGCTTTCCCGTGTCGTGAACTTTCTAAACTGTACGATTGGCTTGGCCTGCCGGGAACGACTTCAGCAGCTATATTGGAGCAGGGCTTCTCCCTGTAGGTATGTGGAGCACCGCTGACATAATTCCATTTACGGATCTATCCACGACAAACTGCCGATGCATGCTGGTAATCCGTAGCAGTCTGACGGTAAGCCGATCTAGCTCATGGTCGGCGGGTCCGACTTTTGTCAGCCGGCCCGCCCTCCATGTCCTGACCGTGGTTAGATCAGAAGAGATCGCTGTTATGTGTGAAAATATTTTGATGGTTTGCTGCTCTTCACAAAGCACATCATGCTCCCTCACGGTTCGGCTGGGCTAACCGGATTGGTAAGGACATAGAAGGCCACGGAGGCTCTCGCGTGAGCAAGAGCCGCTCTTTGTCTTTCTAAACTGGCATCATCGCAGTGTCGTTGGTTGGAAGCGTTGGGCGTCCACATCGCCCAGCCCAGCCATTAGCCAACCCTAGCCATCTGAAAAGGTGAGTGCATTGGAAAGGTTACTTTAGAGCGTGACGCATGTCATTGGCTTTCTGTTTTGTTTTCACAATTTTAACGACGACAATGTGGTCAGTGACTCTTTCAACCTAGCGAACTTCCAACATAAAGTCTCACAACGTCGCAGATCTCGACCGATATGCAATCAGCGTGATATCATATCCTTGTTTTTCTTACGTCACTGCAGAACCGTGACACACAAATTAAACAACAAAGCCACCTCACTCGCGACCATGCACGGCCGGATGACAGGTTTCAGCTATGATCAACATTTGGCCATGTGAATATGCACCTGGACAACTGTAAAACTGGGCACTGGTTTTTACTGGCGTAATCCTCGTCTTATTCCCATCTACTGGTGCTTTCTGTCGGGTCTTATCTCAGGAGAAAGTCGTTAGTTTTATCTGTGAACGAGGAACCGCAAGCTGGTAGCACTGTCACTGCTACGCCGGTATCTAATTGGGGTGGTTGGGAACAGAATGGAAGAGATGATACATAATGGGACCAGTTGACACCGTTAACAGTTCCGCTCTGTTCATACTAAAATCCGAGATAAAATCATCAGTCATCACGGATACCTCTGAACGACAGTCACCACTGGTGTGAAGGTTTGTATTAGTGCCGGTTGTGACGGATAAAATCCATACCTACACGTCCCTCACCACACCGGTCACATTTCATTGGCGACGTCAAATAATGACGTCACGTCCTCACGAGATCGGCCGAGAGTTCTCAGCACATCTGGCGACTCTAAAAACAATCCTCAGCTCACCATGCAGCACCACTGCAGCGGAGCACACTGGTAGCTAAAATCGCTACCATGGGTGGCGCACGGCGCGACGACCCTGCCGCGGCCGCCGGACGCTGACACAACAGAGGGCGCCCCTGGTACCCCACATTCACCATCACACGGCGCGCGCCAGAGCGACCGGTCTCACAAGACAGCCGCGCACTGGGTACACACAGGCGCCGAGACAACAAAAACCCGTCACACTGTCGACTGCATCTTCATTATGGCGCAGATAGGCGTGAACCACACATTAACCCGGCGGGTCGACCGCGTCGGCTGCTACTTTTTCTGCAGCTTATTACTGATCATCTCCTTGAACTGACCTAGGATTTTGTTCTCGCGCTTCTGTCTCTCCTCCTTGTTGAACATTTGTAGCGCACGCTTCTCGTCGGCCGAGTAGATCTGGTTCTCCTTACGCATGCGCACAGCCTCCATGCGACGATGTCTGAAAAGAAGCGAGGTTGGAGCTCAGTGCACCAGCTGTTACATTGGCGACGTGCTGGTCACCACGACAGGTTGGTTTGGTGGCACGGCAAACATGATGCGTCGGAGCGGGCGGTGTTGAACAACTTGAGCTGGTGACTGACGGCGTGAGGAAACAGCTCACGCTACTGCGAAGCATATTCACACATTTGTGATTCATGAACTCCACCCACCAGTCATCGCCAGTCACGCTTATCACATAACCAGGGCACAAGAAACAACACGCACAAATGCTAGCATAACAGCTACTTCGAAGTACAGTCATTCATAAGACGACCTGCATTGAGACCTGCAGTCACCGAACCAGCACCAAGCACCGGACATAGTTACACGCAGCAGATACAGTTATCTGCAGGAAGAACGCAAGGTGTACAACAAATACACCACAGTGCCCCGTAATCTATCAACCACCAGCTGCAAGCACCATAACAGCCACCCACTGTTCAAACCAGTTACGCTCCGCACAATCTCTAACCGAACTACACACAGTGCACGCGAACCCCAGCTCCCCGCCGCGTGCCATCCTGACTCATAGTTCTTCCGCTCAGGGGGCAGGCGTGAGGCGAGTCACCCAGCCAGACCGACCTTGAGGTGCGGCCGGCGCCGGCGGGGTGCCACAACAAAGCGCAGGGCTCACGTGTGTACCAGGTGACACGGAGGAAAAACGACCGCCGTGCAACACCGACAGCACACTTGTGCGCCAGATAGCGGCGCGCTGCGGCCGGCTTCCGGGGTTACGCATGAGTAAGGACGTCAACAATGCCGCGGGCTCTGTCGCGGCGCAAAGATACCGCCTGTCTTTGGCCTAAAATACGTAATATTTGGTTTGGAATAAGTCTTTTCGTTGATTACAATCTTCGGACCACGAACAATAAATATTTCTGACATGTTTGAAATATCAAATATGTAATACATTTCAGTAGTTTATGCCCGCAACACAAGACAACTCAAATGTCTATTACCTTTTGGTATAATTGCACCCATCTAATCCGGTAATATGGATTGGTCATAAGCAACGTCTTTTGTGAAACAAAGGCAGCCCGACAATAAACAGCAACGACATTCTAGCATCGTGTGCCTGAATGATGTAATCAGGCGATTGCAAAGCTTGGCACAAAGCCCTTGAAATGAATCACGAAAGCCTCACTGATAACCGCGTCATTAACAAGACCTTCTTAAGAACAAGGGGATTTTGTTTGCCGTTTATATAACAACATTTTGAATCGACTGAAGAAACGAAGGAAGAGCCCTGGGCATTAGAAGGAATGTCGTCTATTAGCTGAAAAGACACAAATATCTCCAAACCTTCTCTCAGAAGCCTGTCATTCTCCCCTCGCAAACCATGCACGCTCCTTTCGATGTCACGAACCTGCTGCCGCTCATGACGTATCCCTTGGCCTCGAAGGAGGCGATCTCCTCGCTGGTCAGGCCGATCTCTCCTCGGCGCGGGATGCGCTTACCCTCGGCCACGAACGCCGCCATGGCCGCACCTGCGCCGCGAAACGCCGCCCCGTCAGTCACAGCACACGAAATATAAGTACAGGTGGGAGATTCAGGAAACGGTGGGCGCGGTCGAACGAAAATAATTTTGTCCGGGATAGTGCCCAATGAAAACAAACCTTCGAGACAACATGCTCGTTGAAAAAATTTAATGTAAAGATTGAAGAAAGGTGCCTGCAGAATTTCGCAGCACATTTATAAAGGTGTTGGCATCTGGCACCTCGGCCAGTTTACGTTTAATAGATATTGAGATGCAAACAAGACGTTGAATTTATGTCCCGCATCACGAGCGTAATCGCCAGATTTCGAGCATCGCAAGCTCCACCGAGTCGTACCTTCTCCAGGCAGCAGGGCCTGTCCCATCTCCTTCTTGGACAGCTGCACCTTCTCCTTGGGCATGGGTCCGAACGCATCATCATCGACACCCGCCGACGCGCCCTCTCCGGTGCCGGATACCGACGCTGGAGGAAGACATGGGTCAGGTTTATAGCTATAGGCGGGTCGGAGTTGAGAAGCTGGACAGAAATTGTCGAACAATCACCAAAGATAAAATCAACTGCACTCAGACACTAGTTTGATTGTGTAACGGGGGAACACCATTCATTGAACGAAGCTTAGACCAAAGACTGAGTATGGTCATCATGTTTGCACAAGAGCGGGTCGCAAACTTACCTCCTATCTCTACCCATTGGCCCTCCTCTATCTCTGATTCACTAGAGGACGAGGACGAGGCCTTCTTCTTTTTCTTCTTTCGCTTCTTCTTCTTCTTCTTGTCTTTCTTAGCTTTCTTCTCCTTCTTCGCCTTCTTTTTCTTCACCTTTTCCGCCTCTTCGTCAGATGAACCTGACTCCGGCTCCGGCTTCGGACTATTTAGATCCGAGCTGAAAGGAAACCATGTCGACAGTGAAATGATCTGTTCAGGAAACGCTTAACGAATCAGCTCCTAAGACAATACCTCGCGAGATGCGTAAACGGCCAAAGAATACGAGCTGGTAGAGATGCTCAACTAACTAAACTACGCACAGTTCACATATCAGATTCGTTCGTTATTCGTTCAAGTTCATTCGTTTTGGAATAAATAGGCTTCCACTGAAACCGCCTAAGAACCTCTTTTGAGGTCTATACAGCCCTTCAATATGCAAGGAAAACCTTAGCTCTAAAGTGTATCAGATTTTCTATACAACTGAGGCATGAATATTATACTTGTGTCCCACTTATCGTCCGCACGTTGGCATCACTCACTCTATCTCGGCCTCCTCCCGGGGCGGGGAGCGGCCCCAGGCCTCGGGCACTCCCCGCTCGCTGATTCGTATCCTCTGCTCGCGCCTCTCAGAGAAGAAGTCTGCGGGCGGCGGCGGCCGGCGGCGGTCCGGCTGCACCCGCGGGCCCCAGCTCCACTCGCCCGGCTGCTGCGGCGACGGCGAACGGTGCTGCCACCTGTCGTCGTTGATCGAATGTTTCGCCTCGCCTGACCGCCGCTTGGTGTCGCCGTCAGCCGGGGGACTGGACTGCCGGTGGTGTGACCCGTGCTTCGGGACGGTCCCCTCGCGGCGGTGCGGCGATCGGTCCCGCTCGCGAGACCGACTCCGCCGGTGTGAAGTCCGACTGCCCCCCTCGCGAGACGCGCTGCGGTGGCCGCGCTTGGCGTGCTCACCGTTCACCTCACGTGACCTGACCTCGCGGTCAGCTCGGTCACTGCGTTCGTGCCCATTACGGTCACCGCGGTCTTTGCGATCGCTGCGATCGTGTCGGTTTTTCCGATCGTCCCGTTCACGCCGATCTTTTCTATCATCTCGCTCACTCCGTTCTTTCTTATCATCTCTCTCACTGCGATCTTTCCGGTTTTCACGCTCACCCCGGTCCTTCCGATCACTTCGATCTTTCCGGTCCTCACGATCATATTTGCCACTACGATCACGTTCGCGATCTTTGCGGTCCCCACGATCACGCTCGTGTCGATCACTCCGCTCCTTTCGATCATCGCGGTCCCTCCTATCACCACGTTCCTCCCTATCCTTCCGATCACTACCGTTCTCTCGGCGATGGGAGTCCGACCGTCGCGAATCACGGTCATCGCCGTGCCGACGCGACCGATCCTTGTCGCCGTGCTTGGCGTGCCGGTCACGGGAGAGACTGCGTCGATCACGACGGACCGGCGAGCGCGAACGTCGCGACGATCCTCGCTTGGCCGAGTCGCCGTCTCGTCGCCGCTCCGTCGGCCGCCGGTCACCAGAGGAGTCAGAGTCAGAGTCTGAACCAGAGCTGGCAGAGGAGTGGCGAGACCGACCGGCGGTGCGTCGTGACGAGCCGGAGTGCTTCGGAGACGGTGACTGACTAGAGTCTGAGTCCGAGTCACTCTTCCGCGAGTGGCGCCCTGCCATGACGACCACTGGAAGACAGGCAAGACAGTCTGAAAATACTATTCATGACATTATTAATGAAAATATTGTGCCAAAAGTGTCAGTAGAAACTAAACATTAATCCTGCTCTGCCACTGGAAATAAGATGGAAAATTTAACAACAGCAGCATCATCCACTTATTGAATAAATAATCCTGATGAAAAATGTAAAATAGTTGACAAAGACATATGCATACCAAAATTTCATCTGTGCACAGGAATGTTTTAAGAAAAATAAAACAATCATATCAAGCAAACCATAACTGAGGATGACAATTTGTGGAGCTAAGGAAGTGACGAAGTTCCTCTCCCTAGACCTCCCTACTAAGAAATGAACAACCACATTGTGCCATAAAGAAATATCAGACAAATCAATGCAATATAAAAAATGTGGAGATGGAAATTTACAAAAAGAAGAAATGATAGATACGATTTGTACAAAGAAATATGACACAGAGACTGTCATTGTTTGGTAAGTGGAAGAAGTTGGTCTAGTTTGGTTAAGATGGTGAGTTTTGTTAGGCTTGGTTGAAGAGCAATTTTTATTGTTCTTAAAGGAAAAGGGCCACCTTTAACATGGGGATTGAAACTGAGATAGCCATCTTGTAGCCCGTGTCCGAAAACCTATCTGTCTTCCTCCTTACGGCCGATTTCGGCCTCCATTCGTAGTTATCGGCAATTTTAAAAGAAAATACGCCAGGAATGCGTCCTTATCCCAGGAATGCGTTCTTATCCGACAATACAGTCACCCGCGGCGAGGCTTTGGTTTTTTACCAATCAGCTCCAACCAGCTCAGCTTTAACCAATCAGCTTATCTGACACAATCCGACGAGTCTGTCTTCTGAACGCTGATTGGCTTGAGTGTGACGTCATCGCTATGCCATCATACAGTAGGTGCCGTAGAGAGTATCAACATAGTACCAATATGTTAAATAGTTTTAAATACTTTTTCGCGAATTGTGCACTTCTGGCACCAGTTTTAAAAAGAAAATGAAAAATAATAATGTCAAAATGAAAAACAACGATATCTTCATATTTCACGAAGGTGGCCCTTTTCCTTTAATATCCATGTTAGATGTCATGAAAGCAACTTGAACCATTAGATCAGATTAGAGCTTAGCAGGTTCAGAAAAAACTGTGACATGCTAATATGAAAATAGTTATCAAGGTGGTGCTTCATGGCCCAACGCTGCAGTGCTCTGCTGTATTGTTGCAGCAGTTGAGACGAATTCTGCTGGACACTTCGGTGTTGCAAGCACCCAAGTTGAGTTGATGTTTTCATGGGGAAACTCAATTGCTGCTGCGCGCAGTGCAGTGCCATGATAGTATGATACACCACGCGAGATGCAGAGTAATGAATAACAGGAAGATGTCGACATCTGGTATATTGGTAATAATGGGATGCTGAGATGAGAACTTACCTAGCAAAAAAACAAACAGGTCGAGCTAAAGAAGCATGACCTCAGCACCTTGGCACGGACTAAAAGACAACAACTAGCAATGGTGAGCTATAACACTAACGGGGAATCACGGTGAACGTAATTCCAAATTATAGGTAACTACAATCAACAGGAAGCAGTGTTACGAGCAATTGTTGCTACTAGTTGACAAGCACCCCAAGCACCTATATGCAAGCACCGCAAGCAATATACCCTGCCGCAAGCACCCATTGGTACTCACAAAGGAAAACGTTCCTTATACTTCTGTGTTCATTTTCGAAGACGCTACGCTCAGTAATAGCAAATTGCCTGGCTACTGAAGATCTTTTTGTGAGTTGCTAGGCAACCAAGGAAATGTTGTTTGATCTGAACAGTAAGTTCTTGTTTGTAGACATATGTGAAGAATGTGAGACAATTAAAAATGAAGGGAAACTTTCATCGACTGAAGTAAACTTCATATGGAATACTTTTTTATTAACCTGTATTTGGCGCCAAACACTGGACACGCCTAAGAGCTGGACTTTTTGATGACGTCTTCGGGTGACGTCATGTCGTGTGTGACGTTTCGTGAGCAGGTAAGGAAAAGTCACCACCGCTGGCGAACATTGGTGCGGTAAATGGCAAACACAAATGCTGCGCAGAAAAGACAAATGTGTAACTTCAGACAACATTCGTTCGGACGACAATGTCAAGGCGAATCAAGAAGTTCTTCTCATGCGATTGTTAGTTATCTGTCGTGCTATTTTAGTATGATTGTTATTTGCAATTGATTTGTGAAATGTATTATCAAAATCAATGTTTATTGAACGCAGATTCAGTTTATTTTCAGATGTACCTAGGTACCCTTACACTTCACCCATCTTAAGCTGTTCAACGTTGAAACGTTGGGTATAATTTATACTGTGTTTTCTCTGCATTATTAACATATTCATCTTATATACAATATAAGGGCCACATGTTTTTTACAGGGAGACATGTCAGACAGCCCAGTAGGATGAGGCTTCGTCAAGCGTCATTTTTAGCAAAGCTTTTCTTGCTTAAAATCCAGTCTGCAAAACATGGCAGGGAGCTCGACAAGATTTTGGGGGCAGACAAAATCCTGCCCCGAATCTGAATGCTGAGTCCAGGGGCAGCCCAATTCCTGCCCCTAATGATGCAAATAATGTAACGATATAATGATGTAGGAAGCAGTGAGAAGCTGAGAAAATCACTTCTGTGTCAATTTTTTAACTTCTGCACCAGATTTTCCTGTTTCTGTCCCTTGCTTACACTTGCTTACACTTGACTCCCAGCTGTTGTGTCTTTGCTATGCGATGTTAAACATATAAAACATCTTACTATTCATGTATGCGCCATGACTCATGTAATCTTTTCACAGCCAAGACGCTCCTAAGGTGCTGGGAATGTGGGGAGTGCAGCAGCATCAGTGCAGCACCGATGGTCGGATGCGACGGCTGTGATAAATGGTACCACTTCCGTTGTGCGGGACTGACAAAGGAGCCAGGTAAGCGCAAATGTTTTCTGTCTCAGTATTTTTGTTGCAGCTATAGTGATCAATGAAATATTTTCCGCACTGTTCAGCCAAACATGTATTTCAAACAATCTGCTTCCCAACCAAGGGCGTCGCCACGGGGGAGAGGGGATCTCGTCCCCTCCACTTTTTAAAATTTTAACATTACGACTATGGCGTTGCATGGAAAGAATCGACTTGAAATGGTCCTCGTCACCTCGTCCCCTCCAAAATGGTTAATGTCCCCTCCTGTCGTCGCACCGTGGCGTCGCCCCTGTTCCCAACTACACAAATTTAGTCAAACAATGTGCCAATATGGAATTTTCAGGTTCAGTTGAATGAAATAGGAACAATGATAATTGTAGATTACGTATACCTGCAAGAGAGGAAAACAATACATTGTATTGCTTGTCCTTCACCGATACTGTTATTTTTCCATTTCTAGAAACACCGACATGGCGATGCAGGTGGTGCTGCCTGGTGAGGCCGCGGTCTCCGGAATCGCCTGCAGACGAAGTCACCTGGCGTCCATCTGCACATCACTTGCAGCAGTGAGGCCTGCTGACAGCGTCTGGCAGTGTCGGCAACGTGCCAGACAGCTATCTGGAGTCCTGCTCAGGTGCTCACCGCAGGTCGCCGACAGGAGGGGCGACGCATCGTCTCCGAGGTCGCCTCAGCAGCAGTGAGACCCCACTGGCCGTCTTCTTAGGCTTCAACTATATTGCGAACAACCTTTGCTGAGACAACGCCCATGTCGTGTGATCCGGTACCGCTACCGCACTGCGTGCCTGTGCCCGCCGTGAGCCGCTAGTGCTGAGTGCATGGGTTCGACCATGAGAATATGTGTTTATGTTGCTTTTTATACTATTGTTTATACGTTAAAGTGACGAATTGTTTATTTTTCGCAAGCCTCCGCTGTCCGGTTGCCTGCAGCTCCATGCAACGCCAGCTGTACTGTTGTTTTAATGTTGTCTCCGCTCAGCTGCACTGTTGCCTCTCCGCTCATAACAACCTATGCTGAGACAACGCCCATGACGTGTGATCCGGTACCGCTACCGCACTGCGTGCCTGTGCCCGCCGTGAGCCGCTAGTGCATGGGTTCGACCATGAGAATATGTGTTTATGTTGCTTTTACTATTGTTTATACGTTGAAGTGACGAATTGTTTATTTTTCGAAAGCCTCCGCTGTCCGGTTGCCTGCAGCTCCATGCAACGCCAGTTGTACTGTTGTTTTAATGTTGTCTCTCCGCTCAGCTGTACTGTTGCCTCTCCGCTCATATATGACACCCTCTATATGAATGGCACTACTGATTGTCACACCTACTGTCCGCATTGTCCGTAGTGGTGTCATGGATACAAATACTCATGGATACAAATACAAAATACAAATACGCCCATGTTCATACAGCGTGCAGAATCCAGATTCTATTGAGGAGAGTTGAGCCAAGTCACCATAGGCTCGGGAAGAGAGCAACGTGGAGGCCCACTGCCCCTTCCCCGGCCCCCACTGGGGGCGCCAGCCACTAACTTTTGACTGGATGTCAAGAGCGTCGCCACGAGGGGAACGAGTCGCCGGCCAGCCAAGGTAGCCAACGGCGTGTGAAGGTTGCCTGACCTCGAGGAAACTGAGATGGCACCAACAGAGGTTTTGTTAAGTAGGCGACCAAAATTCGAGCGGCAGCAACCTGGGCACCTTCACAGATAGCAGTGCCGCGTATCAGGACCGAGGATACACTCTGAGTCGGGTCGCAGGCGTCTCAGCTACGGTGCTGTCCAGCAGTACAACCAGCTGCCATTCGACACAAACACTCGCCACTTCAAATCAACCCTGAGACGCTACCTACTCAGAGAACTGTATGGCTGACCTGATCAAGTATCGCGGTGTATTGTATTGGCCTGAATGTATTTTACCTCGTATGTTTTCAACCTTTGACGTGTGACGATGAAAAACCATATTCGATGGATTCGTTATGAAATATATTCTGATTCTGATTCTGATTCAGGGCGCCTTCGACGTTGAGCTGGGCGCCGATCATCAGGACGCCGGGGGAATATGACCCAATATCCCCCGTAAATATGTGCCTCGGAAGGGAGACCCAACCATAAAACTGAAAGCTCGCCGTATTTTATCCACTATTTTTCGAGCAGGTCCATAGATTTCCGTCCTCAAAAGTGCGGGGATATTCCCCAGTGTTTGAGTTGGATGGGACTATAGTGGCGTTTACACCGACATGAGATTCCCATTGCCGGCTGTGGGAAACTACTGTCGGTGTAAACGCCATTCATATTTCCTGCGTCACCCCTGTGGAGACGCCCTTACTCCATGGTGCCGAGCTTATCAATTTGGATATCAATGGAATCAAAATCTCTTATCGATCGATGAAGAACTAAAGTACCCCGACCCGGAGAGCGTCTTTGGAATCAAAGCAGTAGCACATGACGCAAGACTTCAGGCAAATAAATCCTTCTTGTCTGAAATAAAACATTTGTGTATTGATAAGCACGTTTTATAAGCAATGGTAGCAAGATTCTCCATGTATTTGGTTTTAGTGATAATTTAGTAGCAGATACTTACCGTCGCATTTCGTTTTTTTATTAATAATTTATATAGTCAGAACTAGCAACATGTCTCTTCACTCAACAATAATTACAAAAGTGAAAAAGAATTGGTAAATTGCTTATATTTTGGTGAAACTAAAAATTAATTCAGCACATATTTTTTTACAGCGTTGAAGTCCAGCTCCAAAGGACAGCTGACGATCGTAGCCGAGCAGGCTGTTTGGTACTTCTTCACTACTTCTTAGAAGTACCCGTTAGTACCGATCATGTCTCACATAATAAGCTATTGGAACAAAAATATGCATGTTTTTCTAATTATTCTCCTTTCACACTAGAAATAAATACTTTTCAAATGCATTTACTAATTAATTTCACAAAAACGGCTTGAAATTTTACAATGTCAAAATACTTATTCCAATTTCCACCATGAAACCACCACTATGCTACTTGCTTACAGAACCGTGCGCACAGTGCGCGCAGTTTTATCGTGACGTCAGAGGGTGCTTCCTCAGTGGCGCCCCCTGGCGGGGAACGCGTGCAAAAAGTCCAGCTCTTAGGCATGTCCGTTATGGGGGCCAGTGGATGATTCTTGGGATGATTGAAAATCGCCATTGGAAAATCGCTTGTTTTTTCAATAAAAGGGAGTGAGGAGCTGGTAAACAAAATAAGATTATCTGCCATTTAAGGCTCACTGAAATGGCAGACTCTGATGGTAAGATTTATTCATCTTATTTTGTGTATTTGCATATTGTAATGCATGTGATGAAAGTTGAACCAGTCCCAGTGGTCATAATGTCATTTGATTATAATAACATTACAAATGACTGTATGCATCCCTATTTGCTTTAGCATGATAGGTGCCATGGTGACCTTCATATCTTATCAACCTTGTCTCGCTTTGTTTGCTGACCTATCTATCAATAGATTGATCTGTTTCATTGTGGCGTGCTGCAAAGCCTGACACGTACAGACTCCTGAGCTCTGTTCACCCCCTGTTTATTTATCAGCAGGCTGCAAGCATGCTGCTACTTCTTGGCTCCTCATTGGTCAAATTCAAGTGGTCTATTTGTTAGACCAATGAGAGGCTAAGAAGCACCAGCAATAACTTCCTTATATGGGAAAACTGACAGCACGCTGATCTAAAAACAGCGACCGAACAGGGCCCAGGCTCC